TACACATATTGATGGCTTTGTTTATTTGATTTGATAAAGTAGATTTCCGGACACAGAAGATGTTAAATTTACCAATGCATTTCGATATTGTCAATCAGGCAACATTTGCACTGTCATGACAGTAACGCAAGCTAAGCTTCCCGAAGACCACTTTGCAAACCAATTCTATCAGTAGTCATGGATTGTACTAAATGAAAAAACAAAGAAGAAAACTGTTGATACCACCACCATCATCATCAACACCTACACACCTACTACATCCAGGAAACGACAAATACCTAACCATAGATGAAAATTGTTTAATATTCAGCTTCCATGCTTCAACGTGGCATGTCGTACATTGCACGGAGTGGTAGAAATGAGATTTCTAAAAATACTGAAATTATTAGTGTCATACTTATACATCACATGGCACTGGGTGTAATACTTCCGGTGTCAATGGCGACAGACATAATTGTTCTACGCTCCGGTAACATGTACAGAAGTGTGCAGATACTCTACCTTCACAAATAAATAGCCAAAGAAAGCAACCATACTGAAGAGGAACAATTTTTTGCGGAGAAAAAGGTCTCTGCCGATCGGCCAGATCTGCAACATACCTAGCAACGATAGGGGAAGACCCGCTTCGGTGTCTAAAAGTAAAACCAGTGATGGTCTATGGTCCGGATCTACGTCTAGGTTTTCGAAAATAATACCATTGTGTATGCACTAAAGGAGCAAGATCTTGCGGATAGACAGGCTAGATATATGGCAGATTTACAAAAGATTGAAGTTTTGCTAAATGCGTATAGAGTTGAACCAAATGAAGAAGAAATCAGGAACGTTTTAAGGAAATGACAATTTGACAAAAAGAAAGGCGAAAGTGCGAAATCTGGGCGGCCTGTTCTGGTATCATTCAGTTCAACAGATACAATAATAGAATCAGAATCACTAATGATTTGAAAAGAGATGAAAAAGAAAATGAGAGGCGTTTGGTGGAAAAGGCAAAAGAGAACATGCTCGGGGGAATTCGTCTAGAGTTCGGGAACCCCGTGGACCAGAAAAGTCATAAGGGTAACAATCAAAAGGGACTAAAACCAACCTGTTTGAAAGCCGAGATCAGAAACAATTATCACGTTTTTATACAAATGCTGATAGTTTACCTAACAAACAGGATGAACTAAAATTTAGGGTTAGAACCAGCGATAGAAATATAGATGTTATAGGAGTAACAGAAGTTTATCCGAAAAAACTGTAGGAATTTACCTACAAAAAGGGATTAATGATAGAAGAGTATGCTTTATTTTTAAATGATAGCATGAGTACGAAAAAATAGAGGGGTTGCTGTTTATGTTATGGAAGACCTAAAGGCTATAGAGGTTAATATGGGTACAAATACATATGGGTCAAGATCAAGTTAAACAGAAATGATATAATTTTGTTAGGTTGTATAGACTCAACAAAACAGAAAGGTTAACATGTTTCTTTGGCGAATACCTGTAAATGAGTGAAAACAAAATGACGTTTGTGCAATATTAGAAAATGGTAATGTTTTACATTACAAAATCCAAGGGGGTTTCCAAAAATCATTCTAGCGTGAAAATCTGTAAAGCGTAACAGCTACACGGGGTTTTCTGCGACTAACTTGTATCTTCGCTTGAATTTCATAAACATTCAAACTGACAACTGTTCCTTAGATTCTTAGGACTTCGAAATCACCGAATCTTGTTATCTTATCAACTTTATCATTATGCCCCGGCTGTCACAAGTACAGAGAGAAAGGGTTGTAGGCATGATCTTGGCTGGGGAGTCTCGCTGTCGAGTTGCACGGCATTTTGGTTGCAGTGTTAAGACAATTTGCCAGTTGGTAAGTTGTTTAAACCAAAATGGGTCAACATCCGATCGTCCCCGAAGCGGCCGACCCCGTAAAATGACCGCCAGGGATGACCGTGGTATACGATTGATACACTTGCGCAATCCATTCGTAACCGCAGTAGAGACTACAAGGACATTGTTTGGGCGTCGCGTGTCTCCCCAAACAGTCCGCAACAGGTTGAGGGCCTACTGATTGACAGCGCGACGTCTCTACACTGGACCCAATTTGTTGCAACGTCACCGTAATAACAGCAATGAATAATAGAATAGCTGCTCACATTCATATACAATGTACGATATGTGAAAAAGCGTTATCTCTCTTAGAAAACTGACAAAGATACGTTGTAAGGTAAACTGAGTGTGACAAGAGAGTTCTCAAATTAACGATCTGTTTACATACTTGATGGCACACCTTCTGGAAATTTTCAAATAATTTTTAGAAACTTTTACAACATATGATTAGATATTTCTAAGTTTTAATACACCTACTGCCTTAATTTCGATGACTCATTAGATTTCAGGAAAATTGCATACAATAACATCATAGCCAGACAATAAATCCTAAACTCTTTGAAGGCTACAAGTAGAATAGAAATAAAAATAAACTATTTCTGATTTATTCTTACCTTGACCCGGATTATGACCACATAATTCATTATGTAATAAAACGAATAAGAAATCAAGTCCTTTTTGCACAAAAAATGTTGCCATTATATCTACATAAGAAGTTCATTTTCTCCCTACTTTTCAAACAATTTAACAAGCTTTGGAATTACAGAATCCAGAACACGATTTGCAGAGGAGATCCTCGACTGTCCATTACAGTTCTTTTGCACAAATATTGCTCTCAGATCATCTTCAACGTCCCTTTTGGAATATTATTTTTAGATGTAGGAAGTTTAAGCCAGAGCCTGTAATATTTTCATGTTGTAATATGCCTTGTAATTTTAAAGGATGTCAGGAAGGCATATATTTTTGTCTTTTCCGCTCTGAAATTAAGGGCATGAACGTCAACTATTTGACTTCAGAAAATTCACGATCTTTTAAACATCGGCATTCGTCGGGATTATAACCGTAAATGGTCAATTAGGATGGGAATACCTTAATACTGATGGAAGAGTGGACAAAAATACTAGATAACGGCGGAGAAATAGATGTCATTTATATGGCTTTTATGAAGGCATTTGATAAGGTGGTCCATCGCAGGCTGGCTGGGAAACTAACAGGTTATGGTTTAAATAACCAGATTATTAACTGTATAAACAATTTTTGAGTGACCGACGGCAAAGGGTAATAATCAATGACCAAACATCAGAAAATTATCCGGTTTTAAGTGGAATCCCTGAAGAAAATGTCCTTGGCCTTTTTGCAGACGATACGAAAAGTTTCAGACAGATTAAAAACGATGATGATAGAGAAGTAGTCCAAAATTATCTCAATAAACTTGAAATATGGTCCACTACTTGACTCTTAAAATTCAACCCCCATGAATAATTCATATTGACAAGGACCTAATATTTTCATTCCATATATAACAAATTGTTAATAAGGCAAATAGCATAATGGGTCTTATAAGATCTTGTATATACCTCCATGCAATTACTTCAAATCCAAAGCGTTAGTCAGCCCACATTTCGAATATGCTTTAAGTGTGTGGAGTCCGTATAAAATTAAAGATACAGAATCAATCGAAAGGGTCCAGAGGCGAGCCACTTAACTAGTCCCAAGCTTAAAGAATTTACCTTATTGTGTCAGACTTAAAAAAAAACTAGGGCTTCCAACGTTAATCTATCGAAAGTTAAGAGACGACATAATTAATGTCTTTGAAATAATCAATACCTTCTACGATGAATAAATTACAAAGGGATTACTTCAAATTGATACCTCCTCCAGAACAACAGGCAATTCAAAAAAGTTAAAAAAGCAATGTTACAAGATGGATGTTCGAAAATGCTCCTTTACTTTTAGAATCGTCGATATCTAGAATGACCTGTCTGAGTCGGTTATTAGATCCAAAACAGTAGTAGAGTTTGGAATTAATTAAGATAATTATTGGAAAGATCGGGAGATAAAATTGTATTACTTAGCCAGTTTTAAATAAGTCACTGGAGGTATGACCTAATATACTATGTATTTATACTATATACCAATAATTCTATGGATATAGAGGCAATTTAATGCATGCGTCCATAAAATATCTTATTGTATTCTATCCTATTGTATCATTTCTAATGTTATATACGAATGTACAATTAACACAAATGTGTTATCTTAAATACGTTATAGCCAATGAACTATATTATGTCATGTAGTCGGCTCACCTTATTTATTGGAGGCGTAGGGGGAATTTAAACTCGACATGTTTTGATATTTAAAAAAAAATGAGATACATGGGTTCCCTTACACGTGATGGTTGTTGATCGTTTTTAACTAATTCGGTTAAATATTGCACTTATCTGAGAAAAATGAATCATTATGTATGGTGAGGTTATAATAATATATTTACTTTGACATTATGTCGATATCATTGTGTCTCTGTATAGTACTTCGTTTACAAAGTTCCAGTAAGTCGTCTCTCTACCTCATAATTCTTACGCCCAACATGTTTTACTTGTCGCTTCCTGGTTATATCCCAGTAAGCCTATTAACATACGTCTGATATTGCAGTTGATTTACGTCATTCTATGCTCCAATAGCAAGTAAAATTCTTCTTTCATTTAACATTGTTGATATTGTTATGTGTCCATGTATTTGTCTGTATATGTTCGCTTACTATGCCAGGCCTACAGTTTTCATAATTTAAATAATTACACTCGTCAATGATATTCAAATTAATGACGCTACCTTGCTGATATCTGATATGCCTACATGAATCAGTTGTTGCACTCTGTCATCCAAGATTCCTTTATACATATGTATCTCATATTTAGCATTGGTTAAACAAGTGTATCCAATTCGTGTCATTTCTCGATTCGTATTGATGTTTTCACGAAATACCAAACCTTTTTATATTAATGATCTCGGTCTAAGAACAAAGCAACAGGTAAGAAATACTAACCAATAAATTGTGGTTGGAATTGATATGACAGCTTACTGTTATTTGCAAAATATATGTTTACATTCAGGAAAACAATTAGAAACATACAATGGACGATACCAAAAGCAAAGGATTGGTAAAGTTTGATAGTTTATCATTACGACATGGCGGAATGTATGCAACCAATGGGCACGCGTTGTACAGGAGCCGTAATGTCATCATGGACTGTATAGGTAAGTTAAACTACATATATGTACTAAAAGTGGTAGTTATTTCAAAAGAAAATTAAAAAAAAACTTAGCTCTGGATTCCTCAAGTTAAACCCCCCTTGTTGCAATGGGAGTATTTGGACAGAACTTGGTTGAAACATTTGCAGATGACATTTTTCACGCTTCTTTTTCACGTAAAACAAGTATGTGTTGAGTGATTTGTTGTGGTTTTTGGATGAATATATTTTGTGGAATTGGTTTTATACATTCATCTTTCTCCTCACTTCAGAACAAAATGTCATAATATCCTTGTCTGCAAACATTATTATCTTTCCTGTAAACATAAAGAACTGGGCCTACTTGATAAGAATGGAACCCCACCTTTATATTATGGAATCTTATGGAAGACGAAATGCTAGTTAATCATTCTTCGGTATAATCAAGACAAAACAACTAACCACCAGTCTATGTACTATCAGATCTAGACCACACTCCTGTTGTGATACTGTTTACTCAGGAAATGAAATAAGTGGTATTTGAATTTTTGAAGAGTTTTTGATCAAGTTTTAACACGCTCTTCTATGAGGCATCTGTTCTATAAGATTTTATTTGTGTTCCCAGTTCCCATACCACACTCTTAACTCTTGTTATGAGGTGTCTTTTTATGGAAAAGTGAACCACAGTATAAATATGTGGTTGTGACACATACGCATGACAAAGTGTTAAGTTTAATTAAGTTTCTGGTTGTCATTAACATCGTCCAGTTTGTGGTAAGATCTTCCTACAGACTATTGGCATAACTATGGGAACTAATTCAATTTCATAATCAAATATATTGATGACGTCTTGTCATAATATAACACCAAATTTATTGACCACGTCAGTTGTATATATCAACCAGAATTGGAAATCAAAGAAACGGTGCACTATTCTACATAACCCACTTTTCTCGATCGTGTATCTATAACGAAACCAACACTGACAATTTTCCATCAGGCTGTATGATAAACTTGATGATTTTAATTTCCCTATTGTGAATTTTCAAATTTTGACTAGCAATATCAATGTATCACCAATCTATGATATTTAAAAGTCACAGTTGATTCGATATTCAAGGGCCTGTCGTGATCTCATTGAGAAATATTCTATGTCTTTGTGTGATATGAATGTGTATGTATGAGATGCTCGCTAGCTTACCTGTTGTTTCCGTTGGTGTACATCTTGTTCTCCTTTAAGAACATTACATTACTTGATGAGTGAGGCAACAAACGCCGAATCTTCCGAAACACCCCTCCTTGTACTTATCTTTAATTTGTTCATAGTTTGCCCTAGTTTACTGAATTTGCATGTGGATAATGATTGTGCTGCGTTTTGGTTACTTACCTTAAACCACTACTGTCACATATATAGTCAGCTATGATAAACCCACATTTTCATATGCACGTTATCGGTAAAAGTGGACCAATGAAAGTTAGCCTTTGGTTAATATTCCGCGTATGCAAAACTACAATATATCCTTATGATATCAATAAAATAAAACATTGTTTTAATCATTTTATTTTAGCTAAACTACTGGACTGTGATAAAGTATCACGAGCGCTCATCACGGTTGCCGATATTGGAACAGCTGATGGTTCAACATCTCTTTCGTTATTAAACGACATCATTAGTAAGTCATCAGTAATCCCAATCATCGTTAATTCCCTAGGTGTCATGTCTTTTTAACTGCATGCCATGGCGAATGACGCATTTCGTAGCTCAAATTTCGACCCACCTTCCCTTCACACTATTGAAAAATGTTCGAGTCACATAAAGGTTAAACTTGGCGGAAAATTTGGCGTATTGCTTTATTCTTAATAAGCTTAATGACACTTTACTGAACAAATTTATAAAAATACATGAATGTTGTATTAGGCTTACTTAACATATACATCTGTGTTCAATACTTTTTCAATCTTTGTAAAGGTGAAATCAGAAAATACCCTGGAGAGTCTCGTCAGATCCTGATTTGTTATACTGACCAGCCTGGAAACGACTTCAACAGACTGTTTAACGTGATTCATGGTAGATATGTTAAAGCATATACATACATTTAAGGATAAATCAACAGAGGAGTAGAATGTTTATCTCGATGAGATTCCTGGTACATTACCGTGATACACTGCATAACACGGTTACTGTGGGTCACGTGACCTGATGCTAGAACACCATCAGCACTGTTCAGAAATGCTCATAGTTGCAACGCTTTTCCCTTTTATTACATCAGCTGTTTCTCAATTTCACATTATCTCGTTGTAGATAAGTTCATATCTGCAGTAAGTTTCACTGAAATAACACATTATCGCTACATATTACTGATTAGTTATTGTAATTAATCAAGTTGCTGATGTTTAAAACTTCAATTTCCTCCAACATTAGATAAGACCTTTTCTCTGTCGATATGTAGATTTTTAACGCATAAAACAATTTGTTTCATTTTAGTTTACGAATCAACGTACAGCCTTTTTTGCCTTTTTCTAACAAAGTTACCAAATGCTTTGTCGTATTAACATCAACATTAAAACCAAAACAATACTTTGTCAGACAATACCAAGTTACTGAACTTGATACAATTAATATTGTTACAAGGCCGCGTCAAAATGCTTATATCTAGTTGTTGTATTAGAATCAGCATCAATGTATGATCCTCTCCAGTATCAAAATGGGAAAGTCACGTATTCTTTTGACAGGTGAAACCGGTTTAAGACGTGATCCAAAAGTATTTTATTCTGTCATTGGACGCACAATGTACGAACAGTGCTTACCGGATTCATCTGCTGACCTGATCTTTTCGTCCATTGCCGCGATGGCCTTGTCTAAAAGGTAGTATATTTATATAATATTGTGCTGAAAAAAGTCTTCCTTACAGTATGTCTGTGCAGTATGCGGTTGGTCGACTTGTCCTGTAAATAGCGAGTCACCCCAGTGCGAGATCCTTTGTTAGTCAGCCTACAGCTTAGTGCGTTAGGGAACACATGTGTTTTGTTGTATTTGTCCAATATAGCATGTTTTGCGTACCGATATCATATGTAACAATACAAACAATTGCAGTTAATATATAAATAGCGACCTAGTGAAATTATCTTGAACAACTCCCTAACAAGAGTCGATGGAGGCTAGCAAGATTATTAATGAAACACTATTTGGTCACGTTCCGTGTGACATGAATCAAATGTGTTTACAAGTTTTTTGTGCGTTGTGCGTTACCTCAACTGTACTTCCATGACTGAATCAAGATAAAAACTTTTGCCAGAAGCATTTTTCAGGGTATGGGAACCGATTGTGTATAAATGAGGCCTCAGAGGAGGAAAAAAAATGTTATTGTTGAAAGTTATTCTGTAGAAACGACGACAACAGTTTAAACAGCTTGTGATGAGTTGCGGTGACCAATTCGGTGAAAATAGTGTAATTGCTTTCAAATATGTACTATAGTGGGATATGATAGACGTTTCTGATTGATTTCGAGTTTTTTATTGGAAAATCAATTTATGAATTATCGTTCATGGCCCCCTGTGAGATATAATTGATTATTTAGCATTCATGTTTTATCAAAATTATATATTGGTCAGAAGCTTCCCTGGCAAACCTGTACCAATCTGTACAGGTGATTGCACTGGGACGTTAGAGAGAGGGACTCACTAGGGCATATTTAGAGGATAATTGTTTGCTAGATTTCACGATTGAGTCTAATATTTTAGTACCTGTCACAAACACGCAGCACACATTCTAACATATTCATGACAGAAGTAAAATTATGTTGCTGGCTATTTTGCGGGCACTATTCATTCTTCATATCGTAACAGTACCCGACAAAACCCACTAAATACGTATAACACAAACAAAAACTCCAATGCATATTTAGATCACTCGTTACTTATTTAGTTAACAATGATAATCTATGACAAGTTACTTCGTGGCTAAAAAGATGACGCCAACCAAGATAGTAGATGTCGATGACATGAATCCTCGTGAAATCGGTAGACCAACTCAAGGCGTTGGACCTTTGTTAAGATAATTTTATTTACTGCCTTGGCTTGCATTGTCTGCTACATTCCGTGGAAATGAGAATCACCATGAAATTGTGGGTAGTGTTTCTATTAAACAAACCTGTCCTCTTTAGATGTCTTGTGTTATGTGTGAAGGTGTTTGATCAGACTCATATTGCATAATGGGCTTTCTTGTTTGCAACATATGTCTAACAAAACCCGCTTTATCAGCCTCATATATTTATCGGCCATTCATATTTCATTTAAACTCAATTTCATTTACAATTAATCAAAAGCAAATTTTATATTCACTCGTGATTAAATCGAATAAAATGTATTTGTTATTGTTTAGTCACTGTTGTTTCGTCAACGGCGTGTCACCATTATACGCAAGTGAGGATGAACTGGTGCCTTACAAAGCGAAGGTCACCTTGGATTGGAAAACGTTTTTGCTTAAAAGAGCAAAAGAACTCCGTCCAGGTAATTTGATTTTCTAGGTGTTTCTCACATGTGAAGCTTTGATGTAGATTGTAACAATCAAGCATCCGCCAAAACAGTTTTCAAACATAACCTTTTTATCGTTCTTATTGTCATGCGTTTTTTAAAATGTTGTCGACGATTTAGCGAGTCGTATGTTTTACGAAATAAAATCATAATTCCGTCAACAGTCAAGATGCATTTCAATAGCAAGATTGTATTTGATAACAATATCTAAAAAATGAAATATATTTGATGTTAATGGTTTTGATGGAGTCGGCATGCATTATTCTCCACCACCAATTGGCTATCGATATACCTTCCTCTGAGTAATACTTCGATTAATTTTGGATTACATGTACTAATTTTTGTTCATACCTGGAACTTGAAAAACAAACAAGTGTGCAGAACCTTATATTGGAAGTGACATAGAATTGTTGCTTTATTAGTCTCTTACCTACATTACTTATTTATTTCGGTACTCAATTCGCGTTCAGTGTTGGTTACTGGAAGTGATTTTCGGTTCGGTCATTTGCGTATGACGCATATCAGAGCAAATGGCTGTAGTGCTTGATTCGATAGATAGATTATTTACGACTGTTGGGTGGTTATCATATCGGTATAATGAAATTTATTTGCTGCATTCTGTCGTATGAAATGATTTTTTATTGAATATTTGCTCTGAAATATGATCCAATCGTTCATTAAAAAGAGTAAAGTGGGGCAGATTGCTTAAAACAATCATTCACTTGGTGATATCAGCACCATATTTGGCACAAAATTGCTTCAGAAACTCTTCGCCTTGAAAAGTACGTTATCCACGTGGAAATACAAAATGGCCGCCAATATTTAAGATGGCTGCCATTCGAAGCGGTTCTAAATGGTGTTTGAACTATATTTTGATTGAATAATCCTATTTTGATGGTCTATACATCGCAATATATGTTTTGAGTGTGAGAAATCCAGTTCTGCATTTCGAAAATCATAATTATGCAATATGATATGATGGGGATTTTACTTTGTCAACATATAGGGTACGTGATGTTAACATCCATTTTGTGTTTGACAAACAATTCGAAGAACAAATTGATTTACTTGTGTGTTGTTTGAGTTAGGAAACGACTTGCTGGTGATGTACAGCTCCGATAGGTTCATTTGTGTAGGAATCAAGAAGGACTTACACTGCTGTTCTTAATAAGAGTTGCCTTAATTTTCTGATTTGTTTGTTGGAAAATGGAGATGCTGGTTCCATGAAAAGATGAAGTCGGAGTTGTTGGTGAAGGATTATGATCGGTGTTATCCATCGCACTTGTGCAGAAGAAGCCTTTCCTCGGTTTTGGGAGACAAACCACGCCTTCTTCAATATATCTGTTTGCAAATACATCGCCCAACTAAGCTGATATGTCAAGTAGTCGATCAATTACAAAGACCATAGTCATGACGCAATTCCACAAGGTATTTCATTCTGGTCTTAGCATAAATAGACCTCCCCATGTAGACCGGAAATGTGTTTTTTTTATCTTTGAAATGCTTTTGTGTGGCATCACCTTCTTTGTACTTGGCAAAGCAGTTGCACTGAAGGAGCTGATTCATAGCGAGGTCAGTTATAGTTGTTCTAAATCTTGGCTGAGATATTATATCTGCTCAATCAATATATAATACCCTTCAACTTAGACTTGAGTTCGACCATGTGCCTACGCAATATCTAAGACCAGAGTCTTTTTTCAAATGCCAGAAGTATACATTTGGCCCTTTCTTGTAGGCATCACGTCTTGGTATCTTTTAATCGGGTCGAGTTCACGTCAGGTATGTCTTTCCAAAACTGCTCAAGTCTCTCCCCGTAAAGACTAACCAATTTTGCAAGTCGAAACACAGCGGGATCATTACATTCAGAAGTTCAGAGAACACCAAATGAAAGGCTTACTTTTCTTGAGACGACTGGAGTTTTTTCTTTGTTCTCCGCTGCAATGTGCCCCCTATATCTATTATACAGGGCTGTTAAGCAAGATCAGTTATATTTAACTTCCAGGGCTACCACATCTCTACCACTCAATAAAGCCAGAAGCTTACCATCATTAAGTTTATGGGCGCATTCAATGAACCTCTCATTTAGCTGCATGGTCATGGCTTGACGCAGTTCTGATGTTAGTTCCATTTTTTCCACATAAGAAACACCACTGCCCTTCAATGCTAGTCCTTCGCATTTTTGGGTTTCCTTGACCAGGATCATTCTGAATTTCAGTTGCTCGTTTATTTGCACGCTCGAGTTTGCAGTTGCTAAACATTTGGCGACAATATTGGTAATATTTTGCACTGTTTCGCCTCAATGTATCATCAATATCACCGCCATAATCGAATTTGGATGGGTCTGATTGGCAACAGGTTGCTTGCCTAAAATTTTGGTATGCTTTTGGCTATCATGGAATAGCCATCAGATCTACACTCATAATGGGTAATGGGGAAAATTCAACTCCCTCCTTTTTCGTATCTGTCTGCCAAAGACAGATCGGTCATTCAGTGCCGTTGCGATATGTACACCATCCAGGTAACTGAAGCCCTATTACTGACACTGAGTCCCATGCTGAGTCTTACAGCAGTGATGTCACCAGTGCAACCTGGTTGTGCCTGACCACAACATTTTAATGAATGAACATGGATGTTGCCCTTCAACTTAATGCAATATCTGTGATCAGACAGTTTACGAAAACGGTAAATTTGAGTCACGTAATAGCCGCCTCTTGAATTCAATTGACACCATTGAGTTTTTCCAGTCAGAATACTTTTATTTTGATGTTTGGGTAATTAACACATTTCTGGTCATTAAAGTTCTACTTCAAAAACCATTTTTTTCATTTGACGAGGCGGCCATCTTTAAAACTGGTAGCCATCTTGGATTTTCAGCTGGATTACGTACATTTCTTAAAAAGTACATCCTGAACATCAATTCCGCTAAATTTGGTGTTTATAACATCAAGTGACTTTTATATTTGATATTTTTTAATGGTTATTTTCGTCGTTAATGACTCAGAAATCGAAAGTAAGTCATACATTTTGTTGCCGATGTAAACAACCTGACTTGTTCCAGCCGATTCTCGAGTATAGTTGTAAAATATATAATGATTTGTGTCGTTATTTTATGTTCTTTACTTATGTAAACGTTTCATCAGCCAATTTATACATGCAGCTATGCCTAACTGGCGATTAAAACAAACGTGTTAAATGAAGTCTCAAGGTGTCCAAAAGGATAGGAGAGCACTTTTTGACGGTATGAATACGTTATGAGAGTTTCATACCCTTTTTTATTTGCATAAGTGAAAGCGTTGTGAGGGAGTTATTCATATGAAACAATATTTCTTAATAAACAACAAAGCAATAAGTCTCCCGCACGCATGTATTTGTAGGTACGTGCCTATCATGCAGTCAATTCAACCAATTCCCCTGATTCTTAGATTAGTTTAAGACGACAAAAATCGTCGTAATTATTTGCGAATTTACATCTTAATTGACAAAAAGATATATACACTGTTTGTAGTGTATTCAATATTAAAGAAGAACAGCTTAAATGTTTCTACGCAAAACACCATTGGCGTGTTAGCTTATAACATACACGGACTTTGACATATTTAAAGTTTTGGCTGTTATAGCAGGACAGTGGTTCGAAAAGATGTTACACTTTAATGCGGGAAAACAAAATAATTCGTAGTCTAGCTATTGTACATGCTTCGCGAGTCTCTTTTAGGTTATGTCTCGTTACTAGTAACGTCAGGCTTTGTTATTCAATTAGAAAGAAAATCGACAACTTTAATTCTTCAGACGTTTTACCAGTGACCGGAAATCTGATTATATTTTTCAGGAATATTACCGCAAATGTGTGCATATGTTTTGCAGGAGGATATCTTGTAGTACTAAATATAGGAACAACAAAACAAGGCGAAATACCGATTCATATTGAAGGTGGAATGGCCACTCTAGGGCACATATTGAAAACGTTGGTGGTGGATGGCCTGATCACTAAGGTGAACTATATTTATGTGTATGCGTTGTGGATGGCTGCCCTTTGTAACTGAATATTGTTCGATATTACTCGGTCTTTTATAGAAATGATGACAATTATGTCATGAATTGTGTTTAAAACGGACAATTAGTCGAAATATGTTGATGTAGATAGGTTATTCTTAACGTTAAAATGTGTGACAACTATCTTTTTCTTGAGAGACGGAGCCAATTACTTATGAACAACTAAAAATCTAGTTAAAAGCATTTTTTAAAATGAGAGTCACTATCTATTAGATATGGTATGTCTGCTGGTAACATTCCTGGTGAGGGCGTGGACATTAATGGTTGTTTTCTATAAAAGTTTTGACGCAGCAGGAATAAGAACGAATTGCGAGTGTTAAGAGAGAAACAGAACTTTTGTATATAAAGCTACATGTTCCACTACCTAATATGCGAATGTCCAACTATTCCTGGATTTTTTTATTTCAGTTGATTTGATCAGCAAAGATCAATATGTTTCTACCATCAAATTGTACATGTAAAATCTAGCCTTACGATATAAAACATGTGTCTTACCTTACAATAATCTGTCGTCGTGCGCCGTTCGCCGTGCGTAAACATTCTGTTCAAATTATTTTTCCCGTAGTCAGGGTACTGATATTTGGTCGTTGCATGATCAGCGAAAGAGCTACGAAATTTGTAAACATGAATGCCATTGACCTACTTTCATGATCATAGGGTCAAATATGTTTATACAACTTCTCAATAACCAAAAGGACCAGGGTGCTGATATTAGACCTGTATCATGTTTTCCATCAAGCAAAATGTCCACAATAATGGCATGAAAGTTTGAACCATACAATGCCTTCTAATGTAAGCTATAGTGCACATTTGAACAACTTAAAACCCTTTTACTAATAAGTGTTTTTTATTATTTAAATCCATTTCACACCTTTTGGCCATACCCGTTAGGTCCGCTGAGATTACACACTAATATCAAACTTGTTTTGTTTACCGCCTGCAAATGTCATTCAACCGCAATACATATTTAATAATATCAATCTAATTTGACAGGACGAATTTATGGAGTGCAATATCGGTTACGAAATGTTCAGGACAGAAGATGATCATGCTTTACCGTTCAAGGAAAACGACAATGAACTTCTTGAGATCGGCTTGGAACTAGTATCAACACGATCGTTCGTTCACAAAATGTCTCATGCTTCTTTCGCAATAACCAAGAAAGGTAGGTAACGTAAAATATCTTAGGATTATAGGTACTGATTAGATCAGTAATAAAGTCAGGTGCATTTTGAGTAGCACAAACGTTATACATTTTCTGTTCAAGGAAGACCGCATTTATTCAATATTTTCTGGATAGGTTACCTATATTCCGATTACCATATAAATGTAACATATTAATTCTGACCTCAATGTATGTTTCTTTTAACAAGATGATGTGACCAAAAAAGCTTACGCAGACCGTATAATCGCTGGGATCAAACCATGGTTTCATGACTCAATATACAAGGGGATGTCGTGTACCAGATCGCAGCAGGAGAGAGAATGCTTAGTTAACACATATTTCCAGAGGCTTTGGGAATTCGCATATAGTCACAATAACCAAATACCTCAAATGGCATTAGTGGAAATAGTGGCAAGGAAACGATATGAATAACGAAGTTGCGATTGAAGTCGGCATGTGATGCAGCTACATAGACAATCTTTCTGTCCTTCGGGCTGCTGTATCAAAGCCTTCTTCAACACAGTCATCGCGATCACCACCACCACCATCAAGACACAATCAGAAACCCCAATCACCATCAGAACCTGCCCCCAGCACTAAAAAAGTGAAAAATCAGCCAAAGCAGAAAATTCAAGTTTCCTCAGATAGAAGGATAAAGGGTCTGACAACCCAATTCACACCGTCAACAAATTTGGCTCTTTGGAGGATATGGAGTACCAGGTAGCTACTTTTAAATCATCCAAGATCTCTATCATCCTTTATTATGTGATCCCACACCTATGGACACACATTCTTCTTTATATCTTTGAAACAGTTGAAATACACCCCCCATAGCTATGAATACTCTCACTGGGCATCACAGGAGAGCAACCGTCATGGAAGAGGAAATTATTTATCCAGTGGTCTTATCCTACCAAAGAGGTAAAATTACTGAACTATTAAGTGGAAATAAATGAAATACCTATAAAGCATGTATATATACCATTGCTATGTTTTAGTATAAAGGTGAGCAATAAAGGCCCTATGAACTTCTTCTAAAATACTTAATACAATGCCTTCATAGCAAATCTGGTTGTAGTTTCTGCAATATTAAGATCATGCTTGCATTTACAAAACACAGATATTGATATTGACCGAATTCAGTCGTTTCATGAACGATGGAAATTCCACCCTGGCTCTTTTGACAAATGCACCTTTTATTCTTCCTTCTCCAAATTGCAGTTAAAATATAAAATATTTCTACATTTATATTCTGATGGTTCAAAAGGTAATGATAAGGTTGCTATGGCCTTTGTTTCACAAGATGGCTACCCTGATTCCTCGCTTCGTATAAAATAAAATTCTACATAATACGACATGAATGTGCTGCCAAATCACAAATAATTAGAGAAATGTTAGCAAATTACGCCAGGCTGAAGGATTTTAGAACGAAATCAACACGAATGCACTCTATATAATGTTAATCCTGCATCCAAACGTTTATCAACAACATGATGTTATTAGACAGCTTTCGATCATGATCTGTATCGAGTGGGGGTTCGGTATAACAAGCACAATATAACTAAGGTGATTGGATTCTATTTTTAATATGTTTTTCTCATTTCGAATTATGTTTTAAAGAATATATATTCAGGCAAATATTCTGTTTGTTACATTGGATACATAATCAGTACGGATCCTAACCTGCCACGTATACACCAGTGTACAGGTGTCTGAGGTACACCACTCGCCACTCTCATAACACATGGTGATAACCATACATACTGGTAAAATTCGCATCCAAGGCCGAGGATACTGCCAGCAACTGTTGCTTGAAGAAATCTAGATTGAAACCACATGGGGTCTAACACACCTGTACACTACATATATACATATATATATACTTATAAATATATCAAAGGTACACGATGAAGTAAGGCTGGCACTGTGCCTGTTACAAAGACAGGTTATATAGTAACAGAACGTTGGACTTTGGTAATCAATTGACGATATTTCTGATACGTCAGCCATGCTGACTTGATACGATGGAAAAACAATTTTATTGTCATAACTGAACCATTGATAATTTTAGCAGTTATTCTCAGTATCATAAATATTGTGGAAACTCAAACTTATACACATATTTATCATATTTAAAAATGTATCACAAATTATAACATTATTTGCAAAAAAGATTTTTAACATAAAAAAATTACTTATAAGTGTAACGTTTACACGGTATCAAATCCGGGTGATCCCGGGATAAGGTGTGTTTACAACAACCTTAACTCGTAGTGTGTTATGCTAATATAACAAATCTCAATTTGAAATATAATTAGTAATATATACAGTTATTCTGATTGTTCTAACTGATGCGGCGCATGAACCTTGATTATATATACATGTGCAATAAACAGTAATATTACTATTGACTGATGTGTTATTTTCCGCAGTTTATATCCTAATATGATTGTTAATTACCCCACGAGCAGGGCGTTCTAAAAGACGCATTGATCACAACAGCGCGTTATCTGCAATTTTTGCCACAAAAAAAAAAAAAAAAAAAACGATACACGCGCCCCATTGAAAATCTCGGTTTCAGTCTTAACTAATTAGACTATCCTGTGAAGTGACATTTACAAAAATCTGTTCGTAAAAGTGCATTTTGCGCTAGTGTTTATATGTGTCTACCACACCTGGGAAGTGTAGGTGTAAGTGTTACTTCCAAAAGTCGGACTACTTCTGTACAGGTTTTGAAAGCATAAGCCGTTTCTTCCAACAATTAGACGATATTTCTAGTATGAAGGAAAGGGTTGAGAGAGCGGAAGACAAAATAGAGTCTCTGATCTTTTCTCTTGTAAATGATTTGATAGAAAAAAACTGAATATTCCAGGAATTTTACTTTTAATCAGTATGCTATATTCTCTAGATAAAGAAAATAAATTAAAATACATTGAACAAAATATGTCATCAGTTTGAAATTATAATGTCAATATGTTGACCAAAAGGAACTGAAATTATGTATTACAAAAATAAGAAGACACACCACACTTTTTAGTCTGTTACCTCTTACAACAAAGCTTGGGCATTGCATTTGGTTTGGTTATACTGGAAGCGCCACAACTGCCCACTGCCACAAGGCTGTCTGTTTCAGATGCGCTACTTTCATATATTATTTTTACTCTAAATCCACTAAGTGCATTTCCGACGAGTCTTTTCGTCGCTACTTTCAAGTTGCGTCTAACGATTCCGTACTACAACATGGAAATTCATACAGTTCTTAGCTTATTTTAGAAATAAGCTGGAAAATCAACTACTGATAACTTTTTTTCTCTCTTACGATCGGCTCTAGCGTTGCGAGAGGCTATCTGTACCAGTTAATTCATACACTGTCTAACCTTTAGGAGCAGAATGTGGAGATACAATGAATTTGTCAGCGCATTTGACAAAAATGCATACAAACTGTATATGATTGTGGAAATTTAAATACGTTTTCATCTGCTCAAATGTGAAGTTTGTTAAAACAATCTTGTATTGTCTTTCAACGATATTCGTATGCTTAGACCGATAATATATGATAAAGTCATCAATGTAAAGAACGTCTCTATTTATGGAAATAATGTTTTGACAATTCTTTTACTTTTATGTACAAAAAATTGAAATAAGATTTGGTAGAGTACCTCTAATATAGACATATTATACAGATCTATCATGATGCCGTATTGGCGTATTGCCACGTTGAGTCGTAAGTCTTTTCCAAATCGAAGAAAATCACAATCGAGTGTTCCTTGTATAGAAAAGCCTAACGCACAAAGGTTTCAAGTCTAACTAAGTGATCATTGGTACCTAAATTAGATCTAAAACCGATTTGTAGGGGTGATATGTGATTGGATTCCAGATACCAAGATAATCTCGAATTCAACATCTGCTAGATTTTTCCAAACGCAATTCGTAAGTCATATAAGGCAGTAACAAGGTTTTTAAATGATGCTTTCTCACTGAATCGTTTAATCATATCCTTTACCTTTTCTGATGGATGCATTGAAATTTAATTTCTACCCATACTATCTGCAAAACAATTATTTGTGTAAGCATTTGCCCTAATAATTGTATAGTTGTTAAAGCTATCGCTTGTAGTATTGGTTTTGAACTGCCCCAATGCGGTTTTCCTATTTCTTATAGCTTTATCACAATCTTCATTAATCCAAGGTTTGTATTTTCGTTTGGATTTTGGTATTCATGTTTCGGCAGTAAGTGCTTTTACCGGGTCCTCTAAATTCGGCAGATCAATGGCGCTTAGAATTGTGGTACCGAGATGTTCGAATTTATTCCAGTCTGATTTATATAATTTCCATTGGGGATCCACAATTCCTTTGCAATATTGTAAAGTGGTCGCTTTGCACCGTCCATTCGAAATCATGAACCACGACGGGTAACACGATAATAATGGTTATTTTGCAATTTTTGTTCATCTTTCATTAGCGTCGGGTGAAACGCATAGCTTGTAATGACCATTAAAGTAACAAAAATGATGAATGGGAGAGGCAGTTGCGATAGAATTCATCTAGTTAGCTGTGCGTAAAATCAGAGTTTTGAGGGAGATAGAGCATAGTGTAAGTGTTCTATGGAGTGTAACCCTAACAGCAATTGCTTGGAGATCTGTATTTAATGGCATGTTTCTGTGAGGAACTTGGTTGCATTGTTGCTAACAGGACTGAAACAATTAAACAATGATATTTTTTTAAATTAGTAATTGTTTTGCTCTAGTGAGTGATTCTCAAAGTTAGATTACACTAAAGTTATGTTCTTGAGATAATTGAAGAATTTCATCAATATTGGATCGATGGCCTCTACAATGCCATTAGATCATTTGTTAACGTGGGACGAGCGACGGCTGGTGATCCGGGAAAAGAAAGCTGAGAGAACCGATCACAGTATAACAATGATGTTTATTTACAATGAAACAAATAATCTATATATTTAAAGATGTCACACTCGCTAACTCACACACTCACAAACCAAATAATGATAAGTGTCCCAGTAGCTTCTAGCTCACGAAACAGAACAGTGTTCCTGTCAAACCCAATAGAGTTCCATACTCTGAATCACCGTGACTCAATCAAGAGTCACCGTCCTCAAGCAGTTCCACGCTTGTATCACCATAATAGGCAACGCACTTATGTCAATGACATGACAGCTGATTAAGTGTTGAATTCAAGTCGCCGACCCTGGCAGTGTAACTTCTAAGTATGCTCCCTCGCTGACCTTGACTCTGAATGAAAGTCGTTACTTCTGGTCGGTCGCAATGTAAAGGAGAGGCCTGCCTGGTCCTGACTCAATCAATGTTCCAACCCGTCATGTGAAGCGCAGCGAGTCCCCTGTGCCTGTCTCACATGACGCTAAATGCCGATAAATCCATATCGGGTGCACGGTAACAATAACACAATACCTGT